TGTTATTTCTTCACTCTGTTCTACTTGAATGTTTATTTCTTCCTTCTGCTCTTAATCATGGAGTCCCAGTTTCCTTCCTGTCGCTGTTGGTTCCCTGTACATTTTCCTTTATTTCACTTTGAATAGCCTACACTTTTTCCTCTGTTTTGCAACCATATTCAGCCAATTCTGTGAGCATCCTGATTACCAGTGTTTTGAACTGTGCATCTGATAGGCTGGCTATCTCTTCATTGCTTAGTTGTAATTTTTCTGGAGCTTTGATCTGTTCTTTCGTTTGGGCTTTTTTTTTCTTGCTTGGTGAGCCTGTTACACTGTAAGGGGTGAAGCCTTAGGTATTCGCCAGGGCAGGGCCACCCACATCACTGAGTTGTGGCACTGTACATGGGTGAGGGGTCCAAGAGGGAACAATGCCGCTTCCTCAGCCCTTGGCCAGCTTTCAGTGCCTTCCCCTACCACCCACAAGCAAACTGGGCCCTTCTGGTGCTGATTCCTGGGTGGGTGGGTTTGTGCACGTTCTAGGACCCTGTGGGTCTCTCCAACAAACTCTCCTGTGAGGTTGCGAGTTTCTTCCACTGCCTCAACCCCCACTGGTTTCTTCGGTTGGAGGTTTTAAGGCTTTATCTCTCCGCGCTGTCATCGTGGGTTACAGGTCTGTCTCACTCCCCAGTCACTCATTCCCAGTTTATCCGCACTCGAATGTGGGACCGGCCACTGCCCTCCTGTGAGTCCTCTCCGCTGCTCGGCTGCCCATCCCCACCCCTCCTATTGGTCTAGATGAATGTTTCTTTAGCTCCTTGGTTGTCGGACTTCCATACAGTTTGATTTTCTGGCAGTTATGGTTGTTCTTTGTTTTTTAAATTTGTTGTTGTCCTTCTTTTGGTTGTGCAACACGGCAAAGTATATCTAACCTACATCTCCATCTTAGTCGAAAATACTTTCATATAAATTTTAGAAGCACATTATCAAGTTCCACATTAAAAAAAATACCACACAGCCCTGGCTGGTGGAGCTCAGTGGATTGAGCACGGGCCTTCGAACCAGATATCGCAGTTCGATTCCCAGTCAGGGCACATGCCTGGGCTGCAGGCCAGTTCCCAGCAGGGGACGCACGAGAGGCAACCATACATTGATATTTCTCTCCCTCTCCCCTTCCCTTCCTCTCTAAAGATATATTTTTTAAAAAATCTTTAAAACAATGTAAAATCTTTATTAACAAATCACAACCATTTATATATAATTTTTGTCTATATACATACATATTTCATATAGCTATAAACTATACATTTTACATTTTTTTTATAATAATCATATTTTGCATGGTCTTTGTTGTATTGTAACATTCCTTTAAATTGATGTTGAAGGACCGAGCCATTTCCCACGTACTGCTGGGAAAATAATGAAAAACTCGTTGTTTTGATAGATTAGGCTGTAACAAATGTATTTATACACCATGTTTCCTTCTTTCACTTCTCTCCTTAACATTATTTCCTGGAGTGAGCCTAACAGATCTATATACTTTAGTAAGAAAAGTTTGCTGTATACGACTTTCTGAGCCTGAAGCAAAGAGAAAGTGCTAACTATAGACATGATGTGAAAAACGAGACAGATATGTCGGTCAGTTTTCTAGTCCCCGATGGACTAGTACTGGCTTTCCCGCATGTCTTCCCACACAACAAATGACCCTTCTCTGTGTACAGGGAACAAATCCTAATGTCACACATCAGGTAACTCACTAAAAATCAGTATCTCTGGCAAAGACACTGCCGCACCCCAGAAGCACGGTGTACTGGTCACAGAGGCAGACTCCAGACCGCCCTGGAGCCGACCCTCGCACTCCACTGACACCCAGAGGCATTTACGGATGGAAGAACCAGCCACCAGCCAAGTACCACCAAGAGAGGATGGCCAGCCCGAGTGCTGATAGGACCGCCCTGTCTTTTGACAAGCCCCAAAGCCTCTCTAAATCCAGTGCAATCTTACACCAGACATCTAATTCAGACAAGCCTCTAACACCTGTGAGCATGTTGGAACCTCGCAGCACGGCATCCCCATGGCGCTCTTTGAAAGAAAGGCCACCGTGACCTGCCCACTCTTCTAGTTCACTGACAAATACTGCTAACAGTTCTTTTCTGTCATCTACCTGGTAACACCTAGACCATAAAACAAAAAAATGAATGACGTAAGTAATTAAAAAACAAAAACTTTCCTCCTAAAAGATTCTCTAGTTCACAAGAAAAAGGAAATATTTTAGTAACTTAAATTTCTTTTTTTTACTGAGTAGTAAGTCCCAAACAGATCACCAACAGAAAACACTTAACTAATTTGGCAAAGTCCTAAATAACTAAAGAGGGGGAAATACACAGCAATTTAAGCAATTCAAACTTACTTAAATAGCATTCACAATAGGACTAGTGGTAAAAAGCATTTTAAAACTTCCAAAGAAGGTGATGATGTTACTGAAGCCAAGGATAAAATTTCCTATCGCAGCCACAACATTTTCACGGAACTAATTTTTAGGCACCAACTTTACATGAAATCTCTACACAGAGCATCAGCTGAGCATAATCAGCCCCAGATGCGGCCATGGCCGTGCAGACACAGGGAGGGAGCTGGCCACGGTGGGGGGCTAACCAGGCCCCTGATCAAACATCAGAAGGCCCTGTGGAGTTCCTGTTTGACAGTTTTTTTTTATTTTATTTATTTATCTTTTTTAGAAGGGAAGGGAATGAGAGAAGGAGAGAAATATCAATGTGTGGTTGCTTCTGGTGCATCCCCTGCTGGGAACTGGCCCCTGCTGGGAACTGGCCTGCAACCCAGGCATGTGCCCTGACAGGGAATCGAACCATGATCTTTTGGTTCGCAGACCCCTGCTAAATCCACTGAGCTACACCAGCCAAAGCCTGTTTGACAATTTTAAAAAAATACCTCGGTGTTTTCCCCTGCCTGGTTTGGCTCAAGGGATTGAGCACCACCCTGTGAACTAAAAGGTCACCAGTTCAATTCCCAGTCAGGGTCGCATGCCTGGGGTGGGGGCCAGGTTCCCACTCGGGGGCCTATGAGAGGCAACCAATCAATGTATCTCTCACAACGATGTTTTTCTCTCTTTCTTCCCCACTTCCCCCGCTCTCTAAAAATAAATACATTTTAAAAATCTTTAAGTACTTCCCTGTTTTTTATTTTTGATTCCAGAGAGAAAATGAAAAGAGAGAGTGGGAAACATCAATCAGTTGCCTCCTGTGTGTGCCCTCACTGGGGACTGCACCCCAACCTAGGTGTGCGCCCTCATCGGGAATGGAACCCACGACCCTATGGTTTACAGCATGACATTCCATCCAACCGAGCTACCCTGGCCAAGGCTTGGGGTTTCATTCAGCTGTCACCTGAGAGTTTACACGCACCAACTCTGCCCAGTGCCTCCCTGGCCCTGGGGACACGCAGCAGAGGACACAACAGGGGCTCCGTCTCGGACTCACAAAGACCGAGGAAGACAGGGATGCCACACACAAAGGCACAGTGTGGCCGAGGCCACTGCTGCGGGGGAAAGGAAGGTGTGCTGGGGTGGGGGACAGTCTACAAGCACGACAGTGTGGACACAACAAGTCAGGTTTGCACTTCGAATGGTTCCCTTTAGTGGATGGAATATGGAGAACAGTGGGAAGCAGAGGGTAACTCAGTGACCCTGGCAAAGACCGGAATCGTGTCCCAGAAGCACAGTGCCCTGGTTACAAAGGTGGGCCCCAGACCCCTGCCTCGGGGAGGCTCAGCATCCCTGACGGTCCAGAATGGAGCGTAAGCACCACCGGCTGAGTCCACGTGTCAAGAACACTTCCGTGTGTGCTGAGTGCAGACAAAAGGGCAGGACGATGTAAATGGCCGCTAACCCTGATGGCCTCAAAGACGAGAACATGGCAAGGTTATGACTCCTTCTTTAGATATCTGGGTAAGGGACACTTGTTACCAAAAGCAGGCATAGTATTAGTAATTAAAAATATCCAATAAAAGAAATTAAATGAGAAAACAAAGATCAGAACAAGTTTAAAGGTCAAAGGAAGAAAGCAATTCAAAGAGGCTATCGCTGCAGAAGAGCACTGAGAAGAAGACGCCAGGACGCGCTGGGGATCAGAGAAGGCCAGAGGGCTGAACTCCACGCAGGACGCCGGGCAGGCCATCAGGAGTAAGGGGGGGCTGACACTGACAAGCAGTTCCAGTTTTCTCAGTGCCACAACCCGGTCACCCGCTGGGAGGAGGTCGGGAACTCCAAACAGAGGAGAAACAGCAGGACGTCTGAGTGCGCCCACGGGTGGGGTCCTACAGCCCAGGGCGTTCGGTGGGGCCCCTGCAGACCCGCTGCAGGTCTCGGGGAGGGCCAGGGCTCTACCGTGCAGGGGCACCTGGCGCTCAGGCTCAGGGAGGGAAGGACGGTGTTGGCGAAAGCGCTCCTGGGATGACGGACCATGACGTCCAGCTGGATAACACAGGGAGTGACTGCGGGCTGGTGGCCTGAGACACAGAAGGGAAGACCCACAGAGGCAGGGCCTGCTCCGCTCCCTGACGTGGCCCAGGGTTAGAACAATGCCAGGCGCAGGACAGCAAATATGCACAGCTGGCACCCAGGAAGTCTTTATTGCAACCACGGATTGAACAGAGGTCCTGATAGTGCTGCAAAATGGCTAAAAACCAAAGTAGCTAAAGAAGTAACATAAGAAACAGAAGGAAAGTAGGTTTTTAGGCATAAAAAGATTTTAAGAACTTCCTAATTTTGGTAAACACGCATTTATCAGGTTAGCATGCAAGAAGGAAGTTTTAAAAATCTACTGGTCTCATAATTGTTCATTCAAACTGGCTAGTTCTCCAATCACTATACTTTGCAGCCAGGAATCAGAAGGAAGCTGTTCCAAAATTTCCTTCCACCCAGTGGCTTCCCCCTTCTCCTGAACAGAAGGGGTGGCACCCACACACCACCCTGTTAATCACTCAGCTGCTACCCCACCGATACTCACTGTGATGTGGTTGTAGATGAGCTGAGACCACCCAAACAGATCTGCTAGTCTATAAAGTGCCGCCAGTTTACAGCGCAGCAACTTCTCCCCTTTGTCATAGGCAATCGAATCGGATCCTCTCAGGTCATTCACAGGAGTCACCATGCCAAGACCTGAAGTAAAGACAAGGCAAACTCAAAGATGTAATACTTCTTACCAAATATAAATCAAATAATAACATTCTGAGACATTAATCTTCCATCCTGCATCATAAAGTCAGTCTCCAAAACTCAGAGACTATTTCATAAAGACTATACCCCCTAACAATATGATTAAGTTGAAATTTGTAACGAAAAAGTAGCAAAACTTATGGGATGCAATAAAGCAACACTCAGAAGGAAGGAAAAGGGTTTTTAAAAAAATTATCTAAGTCCCTACCATATGAAATTAGAGCAAGTTAAATCCAAAATCAAAAGAAAAAGTAATAATAAAGATAAAAGTGGATCATCAAACAGAAAAATAATAAAGAAAAACATTTAATCTTGAGATTAAAGACAAAATAAAATAGTGGAAACAAAACAAAATACACCTCTAGACTTGTCAACATGACACAGCCGTGACACAAATCAGCGGCACGGACAAGCCAGCGGGGACATCACTACCAATCTTTCAGACGCTTAAAGCATAACAGCAGGATAACGTGAGCAAACTATTCCAGCAAACTTTCAACTTAGATAAAAACAGACACATTCCTTAGAAGACACAAGCCACGAAAGCTCACTCCATAAGAAACAGGAGGAGCCCTGTTTGCTGAGTAACCCTATTCTCAGGCCCAGATGACTGTGCTGTGAATTCCATCACCCACGTAAGGAAGAAATAACACCAGTTTGACACCCAGTCTTCCAGAACACTTTCCAGATGACTCTACCTGGCCCAGAATTACTTGACAGCAAGAGTACACAGACATCGGCATTACATGACATCGAAAGAAAAAATATACTAGTATCTACCACAAACACAGACTCGCAAATAATCTAACACATGAAAAGAACACATTGTGACTGGGAGTTTATCTCAGGAACGCGAGGTGAGTTCAGCATTCAAAACCCAACTGATACAATTCACCATGTCAAACTAAAGAGGAAAAACCATGGAATCATTTTAATAGATGCAGAACAAGCATTTCATAAAATTCAACATCCTTCTAAGATGAAAGCGAATTAGAAATAGAAGGAAACATCTTCAATTTGATAACAGACATCTGCAAACACATATAATAGTAAAAGACTGAATGTTTTTCTTTTATAAAAATATTTTGTTTATTCATTTTTATATAGGGGAGAGGGAGGGAGAGAGGGAGAGAGCATCAATGTGTGGTTGCCGACTGAGGACCTAGCCCACACCCCAGATGTGTGCCCACACTGGGAGTCAAACTGGAGACCCTTTGGTTCGCAGGCCGCACTCAATCCACTGAGACACACCGGCTGGAGCTGAGGATCCCAGTCTTTTATTTGTGAACTCCCTCAAGCATACAGAAAACTATAAATCAGTATATATTAATCTTCTATTTTATATCTTTAATTTTAAAAAGTTGTTTTTTAGGAGACTTTTCAGAAGATGGTGGTCATGGCAGCGTAGTTTTAGAATCTTCTTCAATCTCCATCTCAGCTCCACATAAAACACTGACGACAGTAACACGGGCAGCAAAACCCAAACGCCAGGACGGTTCCCACAACACACTGGGTAAGGAGCCCAGGACACGGAAAACTAAGGACAGGGCTGTCCCGGACAGAGTGCAGGCTTTTGGCAGGACCCGACAGCCGACCCTGCCGAGAGGACCAGCAGGAGCTCACCAGGATGCAGAGGCCAGCCCGGAAGGGACCCGAGGCCAGGAGGGCTCTTCGCCCCTGAGTCCAAGCAAACCACCCCAAACTATCTCTCAGGACAGTCTCACGCTAAGAAATCTGCAGAAATCAGAACCCAAGCCGAGTACCACAGACTACCGAGGAAGGGAAGGAGACGGAGAGGAGGTCAGGTAAAAGCACGGGAGGGGCCGGGCCTGATCCCGTTCAACCAGCCACCACCTTTCCCGCTCTTCAGGAGAACAGAGAGGGAGCTCGAGCCACAACACTACAGACACTTTCCTGAAGCAGGCCCCTCCAGGAAAACCGATTTCACATGAAAAAAAAAGGAAAAATATTGTGCTCATACCATATAAAAATTACCTAAGAAGTCGGAATCTCATTCCTACAGATAACGAAACCACACAAAAAGACGTGTCCACAAAACAGATGAAGACAATAAACTCTTATTTCGTAACAAGGTGGAGAAAGTCATTAATATTGAAAGAGAAAAAGTACATTTAATACAATTAGGAAAATTCAGAAATGAGAGCTATAGCATAAAAGGGATTAGGTACTGTTAGGTCTGAGTCGCTCAAGAAACCAGACAGACACAACCAGCTAAGGAGCAGGTTTATTAGCTGGGAATTAAAGGGAAAGTGGGGCCAACCAGGGGAGGTTGGGGAGCCAACCAGGGGAGGTTGACTCGCTTGGTTGTCCCCAGGGCAGGGTTTTCAAGAGCAAAAGCCCTCAAAGAGTAACTGGTTGGGGTGTCAGAGTCTGACTGGCTAGAGCCGTTTCTGGGTGCCGTTTCTGCTGACCATCGTTCTTGATACACCTTGTCGGGTACAAGTTAAAGCTGCATTCTGTTATGCCGGACGGGCCCACCCCAGACCCCAAACTTAGCCGGGCATCTGTTTGTCCTGGGCAGGGCCGCAGGCAGTTTCCCAGGCTGCAGTTTCCCACGGTACAGTTTTCCCACCTGGTGATACTCCATCCCTCCTAGGCCTGCCTAGGTCTGTGAGGTATAAATAAAAATAATTTTAAAAATAAATACTATAGCCCTGGCTGGTGTAGCTCAGCGGATTGAGCGTGGGCCTGTGAACCATGCGATCGAGGTTCGATTCCCAGTCAGGGCACATGCCTGGGTTGCAGGCCAGTTCCCAGTGGGGGACGCATGAGAGGCAACCACACACTGATGTTTCTCTCTCTCTCTTTCTCCTTTCCTTCCCCTCTCTCTGAAAATAAATAAATAAAATATTTAAAATAAATAAATAAATACATACATACATACATACATACTACAGCCCTGGCTGGTGTAGCTCAGTGGATTGAGCGCAGGTCTGCGAACCAGAGGACCATGGTTCGATTCCCAGTCAGGGCACATGCCTGGGTTGCAGGTCAGTTCCCTGCAGGCCAGTTCCCAGCCGGGGATGCACTAGAGGTAACCATACACTGATGTTTCTCTTCCTCTCTCCTTCCCCTCTAAAGATAAATAAAATCTTTTTAAAAATAAATAAATACTAAACAAGAAGTTGAAGAAAAGTTAAAGAAGGAAGAAAAAAGTTTTTAAATCATAAAGAAATGAAGAAAATGAAAAAAGGATCTGAGGAAAGTCACAGTTAAGGAAGACACACAAGCTCTGTCCAGGTGGCTCGGTTGGTTGCAGCCTCATCTTGACCAGCACACTTGTGAGTTCCATCCCTGGTCAGAGCACGTCCAAGAAGCAACTGATGAACGCGTAAGTAAATGGGACAACAAATCCATGTTTCTCCTTCTCCCTCTCTCTCAAATCAATAAAAAAATTTTTTAAAACACCAAGAAAACCCAACAGGCATGTAACAGGAACCCCTGAAGAAACCAAAACCAAGGCAACAGAATAAATACCAGATTCCAACTCAAGACAACACTGCTAAATTTAACAAATGTGCACGGGCGCATCAGCTGGTGGGACTAAGCCAGAACAGCCAACACTAAGACCCACTCTGGTAAACTTGCTCGACTCTAAAAACACAGTGCGCGCATTCAGGAAACGGGACCACATCATTTTTATGGAAAGGTCTTCACATTTTAATAGCAATGTTTTGGGCCAGAAGAAAATGCATCATGTTATTTAAGACACAGCATATAGGACCCTGGCTGCTGTAGCTCAGTGGACAGAGAGGTGGCCTGTGAACCAAGGGTCGCTGCTTTGATTCCCAGTCAGGGCACGTGCCTGCACTGTGGGCCAGGTCCCCAGTTGGGGGCTTCTGAGGGGCAACCACAAATTGATTTTTCTCTCCCTCTCTTTCTCATTCCCTTCCGCTGTCTCTAAATAAATAAATAAATAAATAAAATCTTAAAAAAAAAAAAGATATATATAGCATATAGGAAAACGTGAGCCATGAATTTCACACCCAAACTAACTAAACCAAATTAAGCAACTGAACCACACCAGCCAGGCCTTCAGGATGGAGCTTTGTGCTAATGCATTACATGTTTCTGGACATTAAAGAGATATCACTCTGACGAATGCCAGTCAACTTCTGAAAAAGTACCATGGACAGGACAGGTAAATAGCAGATGCCAGGCGACCTTCTGGCACTGGTCTCTCAGCAGCTGTCCATCCAGCTAGACCCAGCAGAGCCTGACCCAGGGCCTGGTACACAGGAGGCCCCTGAGCTGAGGCTCCAGTTACCCTGGGCTCCACACTGCTCACACTCTCGCCTTCACCCACCCAGCATTTTCCCTCCGGCTTTCCTATGGAACTTCTCTGTCTCTCACTCAGTTGCAGGCTGCAGTGAGAAATGGTGGGTAAGAATGGTGGCCTCACTAAAATGAGTTCAGGCAGAACCAGTGGACTGCTCCCCACGCATTATTTCTGCTCAGTTTAGTTCACACAGGCCACCATAGGAGAAGCCACGTAGAAAAGTCACCTATGTGAGAAATAAGTCTCACGGCTCATAAAAACGAGCCCTCTACATCAAGACATTTTCAGGCGTACAGCCTATTTTTTCCTGTAACTGAAGCATATTAACCTTCAAAAACCTCCATTCTACGTATCACAGTGATTTTGCCTAAGCAAGCGTCTGGAAATTCTTCCTGGAAGGAGACAGCAGGCAGGCTCAGGAGCTACTCACTCATGTTCAAGGCGGCCAGCCCTCCTTGCGGGGCCGCCGGGTAGACGTTGGGAACAGTTGTGGTCATAAAATCGGCAATCTGCTGCAAGGCCAGCAGGCCAGTGGGATTCTTCCCCTTCTGAAATTGTTCCTGTATCATTGACTCCAACTCCTCGCAGAAAGCCTACAAAAAGGCAAATGCACACAGTGAGGCACCATTTCCTTCCTGCCCCGGGAGACAAGGGCGGCTTTCACACAGCCCGAGCTTCTGCCTGTTCTCGTCTAGCACCAGGAAGGTGGACGGACACCCCCACACACCGCTACTTGAAGCACAGATTGGCACACTCTTCCTGGAAAATAACTTAACGATATAAAAGCTTAAAAATCTGAGCAAAAATTCTATTCCTAGAAATTCTTTCAAAAGAAATAACCAGGGATGTGCTCGAGATTTGTTCCTGAAGACAATCATCCCAGCAGTGCTGACCGAAGGGAAACCAGGTGACAGTCCCCGTGGGAAATGGCAGAAGACCAATGAAATACAGACACACCTGACAGCACAATTTTATGCACACATTCAACACGACGGCCAAGAAAATGAAATGACACAAATCTGCTCTTGATACCTATTTGAGTTAAAGAGTTTACAAAGCAACACAACTGGAGGTAGGACTGAGGGTGGGGGGTGCAGGTGGGGCAGGGGAAAGTGGTGGCGGGAAAATAGAGACAACTGTAGGTGCACAATAAAAGAGCTTTAAAAACAAAACGAAAAAGAAAGACAAAAAGCCCTGGCTGGTGTGGTTGCCAGTCTTCGAACCAAAGGGTCACTGGTTTGATTCCCAGTCAGGGAACATGTCTGGGTTTGTGCGCCAGGTTCCCAGTAGGGGGCGTGCGAGAGGCAACCACACATTGATGTTTCTCTGCCTCTCTTTCTCCTTCTCTTCCCCTCTCTCTAAAAATAAATAAATAAAATCTTTTTTTAAAAGGCCAAAAAAAAAACCCCAATATAACTGGTTTTTATAAAATACACATGTAAACACAGAAAAGACTAAAAGTAATACATCAAAATGTTCATTGTAATGCTCAGTGATAGAATTACCAGCAATTTTCATGTTCTACATTGTATTTCTTGGTATTTTAGAGTTGAAAAAGAAACCTTGAAACATTCGCCCTTTATCAATAACCCTAATTTAAGCAGAAAGGCCAAGGTGGATTGATGGTGACTTTAACACAAAGTCACCACTGAAACTACACGTAATGTAGGGTTTCTCCAAACTGTATGAAAACATTTTATCACATACCCTATGAAGAAATAAATCTTGTCAGGTAGTTGTAAATAATATTTCATGTGAGAGTGTGAGCTCACCAATTACCCAAATCTGAATACAAGTACTCCAAGGGCTTCTGGGTGATTTTATACTAAAAGCACCTCTAGTCTCTGCAAGGGCCAGATGAAGCCAACTGGAGGGAAGCTCTGGTGTTAATCCGATGACAGACAGGGATGCTAAGAGCCAGAAGCCCCTGTGTCCTGTTGGGCAGCAGCCAGGAATGAGCAGTCCCAGGGGAAATTAGGCAGGGACCCTGTCCAGCACAACCCAGTGAAGAACTGAACACAAGAGGCTAGAGACAGAGAGGAGACACATCTCACGGCTGACTTGGCGGTGCAGGAGGAGAGCCCTTGAAATTCTGTACGTATTGTTTCCACCGGCTGGGAAAGAAAACCTTTAAAACTGTGTTTTGATCCCAAGGGCTAGAAGGGGAGGAGGAGAGGAATCTAGAAGCTGACTAAAGTACATGACCCCTGCAGCCCCATACTCGGCGCCCTCAGATTAGCTGCGCACCCCCTGGCAGCCCGCTGCTCTCGCACACAGAACAAACCTCCTCTGACCGGGGCACGCAGAGTGGCCGGTGCGCTGGCAGCTTTGTGCTCTGTAAACAGACCTGCTCTCCCATACGTGTTTGTCTCTCGCCTGAATCCTCCTGTGAGCAAGGTGAGAGCCAAGAAGAAGGAGCCTCCTGACTAGGGTCTCCCCAATAACACAGCCATGTCACGCTACACAATGTCCTAGACCGCATTCCGTGGTAGTCAAGGAGGGAGGGAAAAGCTAATAGCGGCAATGCAAACTGAAACCAAAACATGGTCAGGGGACCCCTCTGATGACAACGCCCACTGCACTGACATGGAGAGAGGGGCACAGCTACAACTAAAGATACAAAGACAGGGGCCCTGCTAACCTCGCAGAGCATGAGGGGCACAGGGGATGCAAAAACTGAATTAAACAGCTCCTTGCCCTCGTGGGCCCTCAGCCTGAAAAATCAATCCATTTCCATGGTTTTCAAATCCACATACAAATCAATTTAGCATACACCACTACATGTACTACACATACTACATGACACTACAACTCAATATACATACAGTGTTCAACACAGTAAAGACGGTCCTTGCTGTCCAGGAATGTAAAGCTTAGTGAGGGCAACGCACACACACAAGGACTACGCAGGGGCCTCCGCAGCAGCGGCGGCCCAGAGGATCTGCGTGTGCAGGAAGAAGCCACATGCGGCAGTAACCAGTGAGGGCCTGGAGCCGCTCATCTGGACCCCAGAGTGGCTCCGGCCCACAGTCACCAGTCAATGACCTCGCATGCTTCTAGGGCCCTAGCTCCTGGTGGTTCAGCATCCACATTCTCACCTCTTAACTCCCTGACTGCCTCTCCTCCAGTGACCCGCCACCCAACTCACCCAGGCCTCCTGCTTCTGTGGTCAGCCCTCGACCTGCTCGCTCCTAGTGACTGTGCCCTCTTCCATCTCAGAGCCAAGCATGTGCCCTCCAAAGAGCTCCTTCCGGCATCCAGCTCCCTCTTTCTTCAACCCCACTGTTACCCTAAAACCTTTCACTGTCCCTTACCTTCCCTGTGTCCTGACCTCCCTCACCCTGAGACCCTTGGTTGAACACTATAATCATTCCCTTGCCATCCATCCCCTGAACTCTCTCCCCTCTACCATTTCCTCTGGAAAAATCCAAGCCCTGGCTGAATGCAGCCCTTCACCCCTCCGACCTGCGCTGCTGAAGGTGGCTAGAGAAAAGCAGCAAGACCAGGCTGCGTCGTCTCTGTACATTCAGGATCACCGACCGGAGTGCACCCCTGCATCAACCCCACAACCATTCTCGACTCTCCTCACCCACCCCCTGCCCGCTCCTGCCTTCTCCCCACGGAGTAAGCCCCTACACCGCTCCTTGTGCCCATTCTCAGCAGAGGACTCTACCAGCTAATGTCATGGAGAATAGTCCCGGTCCCCTCACATCCATCCAATGATCAGTACCTGTGTGCACGGGGCGGGCCTTCCCACCCCTTCCTAAAACCAAGATACCAACCCCAGGGGCATTTCTCTGAAGTAAGCCCAGCTTCACCCATCTCCGCACTGATGCAGGGTCCCACACTGCACTGAGATGGATAACGGGGGTCCAGGGGCTTCACTGTCCTTGAATCCCCAGTACCTAACACACACTAGGTGCTGAAAGTTTAGTTGCTTCACTGCATCCCCAGTGATTTTTACTTAGTTTCTTGTTGCTTTTATGTAGGAAAACTGCTCAAGCCAAGTCTAGATGGTGTCCCAACTCCTCTGCTGCCTCTCACCTCTTCCTGCTATTTAGCCCACATTAAAAATGAAACTCGAGGAGTCTACCTCTCTCCACCTCTCCAGCAGCAGCCTGCGGCAAGCCACCATCATCTCTGGCTTAGAAGACAGCTTTCACCCTTGCCCCACAGGATACTCTCTCTACACCAAACCCAGACGGAGTTCTGCAAAACCTCACGGGTGTCTTTCCCGCCTGCAGCCCGCCGGGGGCTCTGTCCTACTCTGAATGCAAAACGAACCCCTGGTCTGTGCTCCCCCACCCTTCCAGGACCTGCTCCCTCCTCCTTCTCCAACCCCGCTGCACCTCCTCCCTGTCCCTCCTGGGCTCCAGCAGGAGGGAGCCCGAGCTCATCCCTGTCCTAGGAATGCACCTGGACCCCTCCCTCAACCCAAATGCTCCTCCCCGAGTTCAGATTTACCCTTCCTTCCTCAGAGAGGCCAGTCCTAACCAAGTCATTAGCAACTAAGCCTCCAACTGTTTCTGGTCGTGCTTCTGTTCGCTCTTTACGGTGTGTCTCCTTCAGCTAGAATGTAAAGTCTGAGCCCCTGGGGCTTGCAGGGACTACACATCTGTCAAAATTTCTCAGCCTGTCCACTTAAGATCTGTGCATTTATGTGTGTTATGCCCAGAATACATGAATGACAGTAACAAGCAACAAGTAAATCTAGAGTTAGAGGCCAGCTCCTTGAACAGCACACAAGAGATGATAAGCATTAATAATAAATTCAATGACTACCTGCCAATGGCCCTCCAAAATATTAAGGGACTAGAGTAAGACTAGACCAGCAGCAGGAAGCAAACAGGGCAGCAGTGTGCACGTGAAGAAATGGACAGACAGCACTGCTTTATCCAGACGTGCAACCAGAAGGCACTTTGTTGGGTGTGACTATCACTCAAGATGCTGACGGACCAGTAACCCAAGTGCTGCTGAGGCCACCACGTGCCCGGCACCAAGCTGGGTAATTGTGGAGGAGACAGTAACTTTTAAAGGGTGTCAATCAATACTCACTGGAGAAGCAGTAAGAGTGAAAATGAGAAACACCTGTTACCCTTTATGACACAAGATGTTTCCTTTTATTTTTTTAATCCTCACCCGAGGACATGCTTATTGATTTTAGAGAGAGGGGACGGGAGAGAGAGAGAGGGAGAGAGAAACGGCCATGTGAGAGACAAACGCTGGTGTCCCTCAGACACACTTCGACCGAGGACCGGACCTACGACAAGGGGCCCGTGCGCCCTGATCAGGAAGTGAACCCAGGGCCCTTCAGTTTACGGGACGACACCCAACCAACTGAGCCACACCAGCCAGGCCGAGACTTCCTATACTGTGTCTGATCACTGGAACGGAACTGAACTCTCTCATCAGAGACACCTGCGCGGGCAGTGGGACCACAGCACACACGACAGAGCGCAGGAGCTGAGGCACACGAGAAGGTAGAAGACCCCTCAGGAAGAACCGCTCTTACGGGACTCTGCAGAATCATGGACACCCTCTTTTTCTGCTCCATCATGTTGAAGTCCTGGCGAAGGTCAGGTGCCATGTTCCTCTCTCGCAGGTATTCCGGGTTGTTCTCACCCACCCTGTCGAAGTACCTCTCTTTGTGAGGGGCTGTGGTCGGGGGCGGTGAGGTCACCACTGCGGCCTGAGTGTCACCATTCATTGCACAAGCTTTCCAGGCTCCTACAGAATCAAAATGAAAGAAAGTATTATTGTTTGAATCAATGAGCAACAGCACTTCACAAACAGCACGTCAGCCTGACAAGCGCATCTCCAGCGTGAGGGCGCTCTGACCGACTGACCAGCCCAAGGCACGGCGTGTGCAGCTTCCTTATGGCCTCGGGTCACAGGGCTGATCAGCCTTCCCCGGCTCTTCCACCAGCTACCGACATCCTTGTCCTTGCCACTGTTCTTCAGCAGACAACAGGAGAACAGTCTAACACCGCTCTTCAGTCCTCTGACAATCTGAAGAACCAGACAGTAAAAATCCGACAAGATAATTTAAAGTCAGGACATTGTCCCACACCAGTAGGATCTGCTAACAGCAGCATAGTTTCCTTCTGGAGAAACTGAACTTACAGTATTTTCCCCCCAAAATATCTGTAGTGACTTTGCGAAGGATTCCCCAAAAAGATCAGTAAGAGAGAAGCTGCCCACACACCCACCACACAAATAAATGACCCTCACCAACACCACCCGTCTGGGTCAACGGTCGGTACCGAGAGTACCAACACGCCCTAGAGACACCCAAAGGGCACAACTGAAAAGTCTGGCCATCACTTCCTTTACACTCTTCTCAATCCCGGTTTCGTATTTGAGGAAGTGAACCAGGCCCCAGTTCCCCACTGACACACGAGACCCCCCACACCTCTCTCATCAAACACCTGCGCAACAGGAGCTGAGAAGAGAAGACCCCTCAGGAAGAACCGCAGAGAACTGCATCTCTGATGCAGAGATGCTCAGGCATCACGAACCGTGTCCACCTTTCACTACTCATCTCTGAGCAGTGCCTTCTCATCATCATGCAAGCACTTCTGTGTCTCCAGTTTCTGCACGACACTGAGGGACAGCTTCCACAACACCCGTGCAGGCCTTCCTGAGCATCCACTCTGTCTAGTCACTGTGCTGGGCACAGAAGTCAGTTCAATGTGGTCCTCACTTTGGGGAAGCTGGACTCACTGAGAAGAGCAGAGGTGGGGATTTGGAAACAGAAAACGGCAGGGCTGGCATTCCAAGGAAGCCACCTGGCTACAGAGCTTTTCTTCTTAAGCTCTAAGCTGCATTTTAAGTGATAATAATGACAGTGGGTGGCAGCAGAAGGGGCGGTGGAGGTTGGAGGAATGTCCCCAAAGGAAGGAATGAAATGAGGGGCACAGGGCAAAGACCGGCCTGGAACAGGAGGCCTGGAAATCTGGGGCTGGCATGGTCAGCTTTTCAATGTGCACAAAGAGGGTAAGGAAAAGTGGGTTTACAGTTGTGAGTACATAAAACACTTTACCCTTGCATGTACAGTCTGTACATAAAACAGACTTTACTCTTGCATTACTGTTTGATTACTGTATTATTTTCCATGCAAAAAACTGTAAACTTACTTTTGCCCTGCCCTGTAAATCATCTGGAGACCATATTAAACACAGATTCAGTCAGTAGGTCTGGGAGGGGCCTGAGACTCTGCATGTCTCATGAGCTCCCATGTGACACCAGTGCCACTGAACCTGGGCCACAATTCAGCTTTAAAGAATAGTTTATTTGTATAAAAAATATTTTGCAGTACCAACAGCCAAAGAATCCGTTTAAGAAAAATTTAAATTTTATTTTATTTTTATTTGTTAAATGCTTATTTATTTTTAGAGAAAGGGAGGGAGAAGTGAGGGAGAGAAACATCACTGTGTGCTTGCCTTTTGTTCACCTGCAACTGGAGACCTGGCCCGCAACCCAGGCATGTGCCCTGACCAGGAATCGAACCAGCGACCCTTTAATTCGCAGACCAGCACTCAGTCCACTGAGCCACACCAGCCAGGGCCAAACTTTTTTTCTTAAATCAGTTTGGATACTGCCCTTCTGCAACCTACAGTTATGACAGAATTACCAGCACACTTAAAGGGACACTTTCCAAGCACTGAAAGACAAAGCAAGAAAACAGTAAGGGACCAAACGTCAACACTGAATAAGTGACCAGTGACCCCAATGTAGTCTTCAAGAGCACTCTCAACATTTCCTTTCAAATTTTTAGTTAATGTTTGCTCTAACCTAGTTCGTTTTAAAACAGGGGTGTCACACCCATTTCACCAGGGGCCACATCAGCCTCGCAGTTGCCTTTAAAGGGCCGAAATACTTTTAGGACTGTATAAATGTAACTACTCCTTAACTGTTAAGGAGTCGAAATGACATTCAGCCCTTTGAAGGCAACCACAAGGCTGACGTGACGCCTGGAGAAAATGAGTTTGACACCCCTGCAGAGAACAAAATAATAATGGTTGTCTGACATTTCACTAGATGTTAAGTGAAGCTAAACATTTTGAGCTTGATAAAAATGTTCTACTTCATTAAAAAAAAAAGACAAAAGGATATACAGTTAATAATTTCTCTATTACGAAAGGAGTCCCAATTTTAAGACGTTTTGTCCCGGAACAGGGACCAGGAACATTTAAGAGGCAACTGTTGTTGCCTCCTGGCCCCCAGCGCCGACGGGGGCAGACAGGGGGCAGAGGGCCCATGTGAAGAGACCAGGCAGGAAGGGGTCAGTTTCCCACCCACGGCCCTGTGAACGGGCTGCAAGCCAGGCGTACACGCATTCTGTTCCTGCAGTAAGGAGGTCTGTAAATGTAAACCACGAAGTGTACATATTCTGAACCCAATAATCAAAAATAAACACAACTCCGTGTTTAAAATACAAAATCTATACTTGTTTTTTTGCCAGTTATAACTTCAGGTTCATTAAGTTTTTAAAAGTGTTTTAAGACGGCAAATTTTTTCAAGGAAAATCTCTACAAAGTTATAAATCCAATCTTTTAAATGGAAACATACAGATATAAAAAAAAATTCTCTATATGTGGGGCCAGGTGGTACTTAAAATATTGAGGGGCTGCTCCATAAAATATACGATTGTCCAACTGCTGTGCTGCACGCCTGAAACTGACAGAGTAATGTCCAATGTAAACAGTGGTGGGGGGAGGGAGAGAGGGCGGGGAACTGACTCAGATGCAGGCTTCTACAGGGTGGGGCAAAAGGGTTACAGTTGTTTATATTAAAAACAATACACTAATTAATAAATAATGATACAAGAATAAACTCGTGTGCTTCATGTACTTACAATGATAAACGTACTTTTTTGCCCCATATCTGAGTGGGTTTCTTTTTTATCTGAAAAAATAGAACAGATTCCGTATCTGACCTAGGAACACTCTGATGAATAAATCTCAAAGCGCACCCTGGCTGGTGTGGCTCAGTGGACTGAGCACCAGACTGTGAACCAAAGAGTCACCGGTTCGCTTCCTAGTTGGGACACATGCCTGGGTTGCAGGCCAGGTCCCCAGTAGGGGACACATGAGAGACAACCACACACTGATGTTTCTCTCTGTTTCTTTCTCCTTCCCTTCCCCTCTCTCTAAAAATAAATAAATAAAACATTTTTAAAAAAATGTTTTAATATCTCACAAATCTTAACACGCTGATACCTAAACCAATGAAATCTAAGACTATACTTTCAGGGGTCATTTCTATAGTTTGTTAGTAAACCAATGAAATCTCTGGGAGTAATCCTTTCAGACATACACGCCCAAGAGAACCCAGCAGCCTGGATGAACCACAAAAGACAAGCCTGCCCCGCCCTGCGGCCCTCAGAAGTAACCCTCACCTGCCTCCATTCTGACCACACCATCTACGCTAGACAGCAACCCCTCCCCTCCTGGGCAGCCCCAGCTGCCAGTCACTCACACCCCAGCCCCCTCTCCACTGCGAGGCCAGAGAGCAGCTCAGAACCAAGGCTGTCACTCCCTGCTTAACACCTGACAGCCAACAGGAGGGCCTGAGCTGGGTCTCGCTGCAAACAAACTGTAAAATGAAAACCTTAAAATGAAATCTGAGACAATTAAAATTTGAACACTAACTAGACTTGGATGGCAACAAGAAATGACTGTCAAAAATTTAAGAGTGATATTATTATGGTCACATTACACACAGAAGCATTTACGGATAAAACGGCAGGACACTGCATGGTGTGGAGGGAGAGTAAGGGTTACACAGGAGCAACCAAGACTGGCCGTGAGTGCTCACTATGGACACGGGATGCAGGCTAAGCAGGGTCCAGCACACCAGGTACTCTTGTGTCTGAACTGCCCCCAGAATGAAGTGCCTCCAGACCTCCCGTACTCTGCCTGCCCTCGGGCGAACTCATTTCGGCAAGCTCTCCCAGACAGACATCACTGATCCTGGGATGAAAGACTGCTTTCAGATTAACGTTCCCTCTTTTCTAACATCCCGGGGGACACTGTCTGCCCGTATGCCGCCGACTGACCTGGAACTGGCAAAGGGCACCCTGATACATGTTCTCCTGGCAAGGGCATGCAGTGCACCCCCAAGAGGATCCCCTGCGAGGATCCGTCCGCACTGACATGTAACTAAGCCTCAGAACAGGAACCAGACAAATTTTTGCCTAAAATACCCAATGAGCTTACTCTGAAGTTCTGGGGCAGATTCCACTATTCCTTAGCATTCTCCTGGCGCAGACACTTGGCTAACAGCTAACTATTTCAACTACTCACACAATTTACTTCTGAACCCCTAAAGGCCGAACACTCAAACCGCGGCCGGAACAAGCAGGTGGCCCTGACAGGGATTCTCTGGGCAAGGCATCTACTAGGAAACCCAGAGGGTCTCATCAGTCGCTAAATCCTCTTACAACACCTCTCAGAAGGGCACCGACTGCCACGCAACAATGACTACTGTTCCACGGAGAATAAACCAAGACGCATCACACACACTCAACAGAAGTGGTGGCCTCTGCTGGTGTCCCAGGCCACCTGCCACCCAACTCCAGACAGCCTTGGGCACTGTCAACAGGAGAAGGAGGAAAGAGGGGAGCCCTGCAGTCCCACCCTCCTCGACTCCTGGTGACCCCTGGTCCCCAGTGCATCCCCACACGGTGCACGAGGCACCAGAAACACAGAATCACGACACCGGCG